ATTTCTTTTCTTTGCTTCCTTTACAGATTTGGCTCAGTAAGTTTACTCAGTCTTCTCATGTTTGCCACGTCTATACTTATTCAGTTCCTCATTCTCTTCTTAATGTTATCGATCGTGTAAAAATTACGAGGGCCAGTATTGTGTGCAAGAAATGGAAGCGAGGGGTAAGGGAGTCTCTGGCTCACAGAAGATATTTGAGCTTTGCTGGTTGGAAAATGGATGATGACTCCACCGCTCGCCTCGTTTGCCTTGCCTACAACCTCAGAGAACTTGACATGTATGTATCCGTTTACAGTTCTTCATTATATGATGCTCGATCGGGTAGAATGTTCCTGTCAACTTCTGTTTGTTGACTTTTTCTCAGACATTATTTGACATGATCGCTGCATTGTCTGGCTAACCGATATGCATTTTAGTATTTTTCTTAAGTTAAGCAATGAGCTTCACTGTCTCGGAGATGATCAACACATTTTGGATTTGAAAAATGGCGTTGTATGAGCATTTGAATGGACTATTTGAGTGACGGTCCTCCTGCTATTTCGAGGTCAAGGAGAAAAGGTTATCTGGAAAAGGTTGATAACATGTTTGTTGGCTTGATGGACATTGAGAAAATGATTGTTTTATTTGAAATAATCACCAGAAGCTTGTGTTCAATGGCCCGACATCCTAAGCTAAAGCAACATCCCGCTTTTGATATGAATCTCCATCACCCGCACCCATCAGGATTGTGTCCATTTGTAATGGATTAACAATGTTTCACTCTTCCACTCCCTGTGCATAAATCATACGTTAATTGCATTCTTGAGAAACAAGTGAAAGAATTTTGAAAATTTCGGACATTTTGTGGGTTATCTGTTTTTTAATTTTCAGTCTAACTCTAACCTGTCAATTTAAAACCCTTTAGCCTTGGGGTGTTATATATATGAGTAGTCAAACTGAGGAGTTACCTGATCAGTTGTAATTAAATGAATGTACATTCACCACACTTCTCTCTATGAGTGAAGGATACAACTGACGACAGTCCATGCGCATGAAGATATTCTCAGTTTCCTGAAAGTTGTCAACTTCACGTTCTAATCTGTCTTTAGCGTCTGACTCTCTTGTTCTGAGTAAATTGGTAATACAATATGTCAATTGAATTGATTTTCATAACTTCATGGTGTTGTCCACTATGCGCTTAAGAAGGGACTCGAGTAGCTGAATGATGACCGGACAGTCCTGTCGCATACCACAGTCACAATCAATTGCCCTCTCTAAAGCCATATCTCTGATACTTGTCTATTAATTTATGGAGCCTAGTAGTTCTAACGACATGGTAGCTTAATTTCCCATGACAATGTTGATGTGATAATATGATCATATCATTTAATGTCAGTCCATTTTCTTACTCTTCTTGGTACAACAATTAACAAATCATATTACACTCATTGCTTTATTTTAACCTTTGGTGAATAGATGAAACATCCAAAGGTGGCATTGACTACTAAAAACTGTTACAAAAAAGAAGCTACTGCTGCTATTTTGATCCATTTTTTACCATTTAGAAGCAATTACTTGTTACACTGTATGCTCTTGGCATGAAATGCATAAAGTGTACTATATTAAAATTTCTAGTGTTTTCAGCCCAAGGAGCAGATGGGGTTGCCAAATCACTGATAGCGGACTTCTCAAGATATCTTCGGCGGAGTGTGTCAGCAATCTCACATCCATATCTTTATGGGGTTTAACAGGGATCACGGATGAAGGTGGTGTTCAACTGGTAATACATAGTTTTATGTTTTTCAAGCTCAGATTACATTGTTGGTGGATTTGAGCTAATACTTGGATCTCTATCTTTTGTGTTATTAACAACTTGACTGCATGCAGAGTCTCATGAGAAAAATGATATTGACTTCAAGAGCCAAAAAAACAAAGTGGAAAGAAAATTGGACTGAAAAATAGTTTTATGAAACATTTTTGAATGTTAGGCGTCAGTTCGGCTAGACTGAAACCAATAGCATGCAGTTAAATACATCTTTTAATTCTTGCTGTTAGTTAATCGGAACTAGCTAGATCGGGTGGTTTCACATAGTTTCCTGGCGCTTGCCAGTTGGTGAATATTTAGCTTGGACCTTTCAGCATTTTCTGAAGGCTGACTAGTGTCTTTTTTTAAACTATTATTCTAACAGATATCGAGAACTAAATCATTGGAACATCTGAATGTTGGCGGTACATTTATCACTGACGAAACATTGTTTGCTATCGCAAGAAGTTGTCCAAAGTTGAAGGTAAATTATTATATTGTATAGGAACTGAACTCTAGGTTTCGTCGGAGCAAGATCCTGAAGTTTATCTCCCTTTCTTATTTTTCCCCTTCCAATAAGACAAATGGAGATATACAAAAGCATTTTAATCTGATCATCATTCATCACTGGCTTAAGAGACTGTTGCTGGCTTGAGTCTATGTAAAGAGGATGACGTCTGATATTTCTATTTTTCATGATTACTTCTTGTTCATTTCAGTCCATTGTACTGTGGGGTTGCCGTCATGTTACAGAGAGTGGGCTTGTGGCATTAGTTGATAGATGTCAGAAGCTCAAGTCGATGAATGTATGGGGAACGGGAGTTCCTGAATACTGTCTGAACAACTTGCTTATCAGATGCCCAACTCTTCAGATAAAAGTTTAAGCACTGATCTGGGCTACTTCTATGCTCTCAGTTTTCAAGATGTTGATTCTTGCCAGTAAATTTCATGGACATTTTCTTGTATTCTTGAATTCGTCTGCCAAGAAAACCGAGTATGTGTTCAAATCTCATATGCCTTGTATTGGAATTATCCTCTCGTCATCGCCCCCCCCCCCCAAATGTTTTTTTTTTTTTTGGGCGTACTAATCACGGATCAGCCAGAATTTTGAACAAATTTTTGATGATTTCAAATATTGAGATTTGAATTTGTAAATTATTTGTATGTCGTTTGACATTGGAAATCAGAGCTAATTGTAGATTAAGCGAGGTTACGGAAAAAGATAAACTCGAAAATGAAGCAAGGGATACATGATTACATTTCATAAATGAAAAATTAATGTTAGTTTTGTTTCAAACGATACAAGATTGAAGAATATATTGAGACTGAAGAAAGGCTATGAAGAACAGTGGAACTTGCTAGAAGGTCTGAAACTCTGAATTGTATTTTGCAGGGCCATAGTAATCACCGAAAAGATTACGGGAGAGCGACAACTGAGTGAACTAGTTTATTTAAGTCTTAATCAATTTTATTTGAAGATGCCAATAAAGTCCCATACTTTCATTCTTTTTTTTTATAGACAAATTTGACAAATCTAACTTACAAATGAATTGCTTTAAATGCCCTTAAGTTAAATGTATGATTAAACTTTAATTATTAACATTTGTATTCCTTATTAAAATTAAAAAATTAAGTTATAAATTCATCATAATGAGGTTGTAAAATTAGAAGATAAATTTGCAAATTCTTAAGACAGTTAGAATAATAACTTGTTACTTTTTCAATTTTAATTATTATTAGTTGTGTTTCCTATTAAAATTGGGAGAACAAATTATAAATTTATCATAATAAAATTATAAAATTAAAAGATAAACTTATACATTTTTAAAACTATTAAAATAATGACTTGTTACTTTTTAACTTTAATAATTAACATTGATGTTTTCTATTATAATTGAAAGAATGGATTATAAATTTATTATAATAAAATTATAAAATTAAAAAATAAATTAAAAAATCCAAAAGGTGGGAGAATAATGACAAAGTTGCAGTTGGATCCAACAAGTTTCTTAGACTTTCTATGTTCCCCATTTCAAGCTGACCAAGTTGTGATGAAACATATAATATTAGTTTTAGTACACAAAAACTGTTTTGACATTACACAGACTTAAGTACAAGGCATCAGTCACATTAATCAAAACACACACACACATCATTAAAGTCGATCCAGGCTTCTTGCATGCCCTTTTCAATCGGTTAGCAGTTGAAACACAAGCAACTTAACAAAGTAGAGAAAAAAGGGTCCTTGCCATGAAGCTCACGCAACAACCAATTGATTTTTTGGGAGTTCGTTGCACAGAAGCTACAACAGCAGAAACGTGATCAACAACACACAGGAGATTGGTGATCGATCGTTGCTGAGAATGAAGATTTTGGTTTGAAATTTGGTTGCTCGAGTTCCTTGCAGAGAAGCAGCAGACGCAAAAAGCATCCGCGAGCTTGTAATTTGTGGCCGCTCTGCCAATGGTGCTAGCCACTCATGATTAGGGCAGAAGAGAAATGACCTCCGGTTGATCACTGAGAAGCAACAGAGGCAAAAGGCATCCACAAGCTTGCGATGTGCGACTACTCTACTCTGGCGTTTGCCACTCACAAATAGGGCAGAAAACAAGCAAACTCTTAAGGACCATCAAAATTTATTAGTATTTTGAAATTGATTTGAGATTCAAATTCAATAAATTGATCTCCTTAACACTTGGTTGTCATTCTTTCAAAGATTATTATTTGTGATAATTAATGAGCTACTATCTCTGTCACAAATTATAAAATAAATTTAAAAATATTTTATTATCTCAGGATATAAGATAATTTCTAAGAATAAAATTTTATTAATAATTTCTTGTAATATTACCTTTTTAGTAGAGAAAAAATTAACATGATATTATAATACAATAATTAAATGTGTAAGAATATTTTAAAAATTTTATTTTGAAAAAATAAGTTTATAAAATATCATAATCGAGTTTTATTAATATATATAATTTTATATTAAATTATTTTATAATTTGAAATGGAAGGAATATTTAAAAAGATTGACTCTATTATTAGGCTGTCCGTAAGTTCCCGGACGATTGAAGCCCAGCGGAATAAGCTAGCGGTGGGATTGTGTCAAACCCATAGCTGTATTTAAAAGCATCTAAGCAGACTACCTCGATCGAAACATACTTCATAAGTCCATGATTACCTCGAGAAGATTTTCGATGATCACAAATATATCTGAATCTCAAAACAAATCTCGATGATGTTCTCATTTAATAAGCCATACGAGTTAAACCTCCTACAAGTTCCTCTGATAGACAAAGAGAGGTTTGTGTTCTAAATTTGTTATGAGGCATTCAAACCTTAAGACTTGATTGTACCAACTCCCGACTTTAGGAGAAATGGAAGAACCAAGTTATCAGAGAGGAAAGAAACTCAAAACAAGTTTGTTAATTGCTAGGATATTGGGATCACAATTTGACAATGACCGAGAGCCACCCATTCTAAACTTATCCCATTCATATTCTGTCGTTTTCACTAATGATGCCGGGGTATTGAACCTGAAACGTAAAAGGAAGAAACACGACAAACATTAGCATAAATAAGTTGTTAGCACATGATTAAAATAAGGTACACAGGAGACAAAAATGTGCATTCGGGCAGTAATGATCAAACACGTTGTCAGCGAAAGGAACAGAGATATATTTCAAACTTACCAAAGAGATGCCTTGGTTAAAATGGTAGAAATTAAATCTCGAATAACTACAATCATTATATAGTAACAACATATTTTCAGTTTTTGAGCACCTAAAGCAAATGTTTCATAATCTTCAAAATCGGGAAAGGGTAAAATTTTTTAACCCTTGGAACTGTAAATTAAATCAGACGCACAATAAGCCATCGAGCTCATGATTAGCCAGGAAATCTTCAATTGCGTGAGTGAAGCAATAATAGGCTGGAAAAGTGAGCTAGATCTCTTCCAATGCAAAAGCCTTCAAAAGTTAAATTATATTCAGTTGAATCACAACCTTCCCTTAAGTTAAAGAATTCCCGACGTCACTTGTTAAGTTATGTAAGTTATAGCATCTTAACATTTTCACTCGAGTTATGGTAATCATGGGAAAATTAACATTTTAAGTATCTAACCATAACTTAGTCAAAAACACCAGACTCGATGCATATGCAAATATTAAATCATAATCAGCATCAGACTACTTTCTTTAGAACCACACTACTTCAAAATTATGGAATTGATGTGCCCAAAGGTAAATAAGAGAAATTACCGAATGAGTTAGCTAAGAGTGAAACATCTAGAAATCAAACTATAAGCCAACCATAAAACGTACCTAAAACACTTCAAGCTCCAGAAAAAATTCACTCTCTCCTCATCACTGTATTCCTTAGATGACAGCACATATCCATGTATATTGCTTCATCAATCCAACATTTTTGTCTCATGAAATTTCACAGGTTGAAGCAAGACAGCAGTGAAAAATTACCTCCGATATAACATACAACAAGACTAATATCATAGTAGTAGCAAAACTGCTACAAGTGGGAAGCGAAGTAAGAATAGCATATAATTTGGACAATGAGCCGGTGAAGCAGATCTGGTAAACTGAACAGATCCAGTAAAGCTTCCAAAGCTTCCAGAGGTATTGGTCACTGGACTTGTACTGGGTACCGCAATGTTCTTGCAGGTACCGAAAGGCACTCCAGCCTGCAAATCCCCAATGACGATGTGACTATCGTGCTTGACTTTCATTCACAAAAAATGTACAAGTAGAAACTGGCAAGATGAAAGCCATCCACATCCAGGATGTGTCCACTAATAGATGCAGTTAATAAAGCAAATTGATAAGATGGACAAAATGGAAATTGTTAAGATAAAGAAGGAGGTCCAAAACAAAAAGATTCAGATCAGGGCATGACCGACTAATTAATAAAGCAACGAAGACAAACCTGGCAAGCTGTAATGGTACTACACCCGCACAATGCATGGCCATTCATTTTATCCACAACATCAAAAACACCACCTCCATCACTTCTCTGCATGAAATTACACTCAATGTTAAAGCGAAAATGCAAGGTCATGTTTATGCATATATAAACCAGGACATACCAAGTTAAAACCCTAAACAAATAGGAATACCATGTAAAAATTAATGGCTATAAAGTTGGGCAGCATGTTTCCTGCAGCTCTGTAACACGTATTAACCATCGCAGCAAGTGGAGCAGAATGCTCTTTGCATGAATCAGCTTCAACCGGATAGGTTGGAAAGTAATTCTGCAAGAAAAGTGAAGCACTTCTAGAATTTAATGGCTTTGATTCTTTTCTATGCGGGCAAGATCCCTGTTGAACTCCAGGATCTCCAGCTGAAAACAGACAAGAAACTATGAATATTTTATCTCAATCGTTCATAACAGACAAATGCATGTTGCTGTGTTATTGTGCTTACGCTCATTTTCGACCATGTACTTCCACTGATAAGCTATTCCTTCTTCAGCTTCCTTTGAAGCAATGGAAGTGAAAACAAGAAGACGGTAGTTTGCTTGAACCATCTCCGTTATAGTGGGCCAATCTTCACCTTTTTTTGGCATCTTAGACACAGGAAACCAATATTTATCCAGTCCAGCTCTGGTAAATAGATTAGTCAATCCTTTTGGAGAATGCACGTAGTCTTCAATTATTATGGTGATGATCTCTGTTGGGTTTTCTGTCAAGAATGCTTCGACTTCGTTCAAAGTATTTATTGCAGGTTGCTGAGAATATTTCAATGGACATGTTAAAAGACGATCCATGAAAGTGCAACCATAAAAGTATACTTAGATTGTACGGAAAAAAGTAGGAACATGAGTAGAGTACAAATGCGGTGAAGGTGAAGCATTGTCCCCGGAAGGAATGGCAGAGCCAGATATCGTTCTCGAAGTCGTACATATCCAACATCAGTCCCCTCACTCCATTCTAAATCATATTAATCAAAACGCATGAATGAGATTTTCTGATGAAATGATTATATTAAAAGGAAAAAAAATATAATTATCGATCCAATAATTTTATCATATTTTGTTTTTAGTCCTGTAGTTTGTCTTCAATATTTTCAGTACTTATAGTTTATGTAATTTAACATTGTTAAGAATACAAAGAACAAGCCTTACCCAATTTTATTAATAATACAGGGACTACAAAATCAGAAATACTATAAATAGTACCGGACTAAAAGCAAAACCCTGAAACAAGACCAAACTAAAAAAACTACGGCCCTGAAGCAAGAACAATGACTGTGTTTTCCCTTAAAAAAATGCGGAGAAGGCTAATAGAATTTTGTAATCTTGCGTAGCTGTCAAGGACCAAGAGAAAGGAAAGAAGATCATTCTCCATCGTTCATCTTGAAGCTGAATGAGAATCCAACTCGACCCAAAAAGGGAGAGATGGAAAAAGTATGAAACAAGCATCGGACAAAAACAAAATCGACAAGAAAAAATGTGATAGTGAAATCTTAACTTGGTCTCTTCCCCTCCGGAATCTCAGAATAGGGAGAGAAGAGCGCAAACACATACTCTCAATTGGTTGGTCACGGAGTCTTCTTGATTGTAAAATGTTAGCCTCTGCACGCCAGGCAGCGGTGGTGCATCAACGATGCTGAATGAATTATGGGTCATTATCCACGTATACTTGTTGAAAGGTAATCCATTAATCTGCATATGAAAGAAGTATAGTTAATCGTTTGACTCGTCATTCTGCTGCAAAATTAAAGGAAAGCAACCACCATCGACCACCAAATTCGCACGACAAAAGAAAGAAGTAGACTGCAAATTCAACGTGTAGCTGCCTCTAGTCTCTAGCTGCATAAGTGAAGATGCTTACAATCGATGATGGAATGGTGGCTAGACCTCTGGTGCAGATAGGTTGCGTCCTGCCCAAAGCAGGGCAGTTACCACAGTAGAGGCCTGGCCCGCAATCCGTGGACGCTGAGCATGATTCCAGAAGCTGTGAATTCTTGTGAAATTCAGCTCAAACTAAAAAAAAGTTTTTTTTTTTAAAAAAGGGGGAGAGAGCAAGGGTCTCTTGAAAGAAAAGAAGAGAAAGAGAACCTGACAATTGCCATTAGAGCAGGCGGTGGAAAAGGCTATGAAGAGAGATAGGAGAGATAGAATGAGGGAGCCAATGAGAGAGGCTCTGCATTTTCCACCGTACATCAAGAAGCCGAGTAGATGAGAGGTGGATACCTATGCAGACGGTGGAAGCCACCCGGCGCAGAGGAGAGAGAGGTGGGTTGGATAGTTGGAAGCAAGTGTGCAGAGAGGATGTCGATCAATCATTGCTTTGGGCATTGGCCGCGGGCTTTATCGTCGCCTTTAATTTTCTCTTATTTTGAGGCCACGACTCCAGCTACTTTAGACTTTTGCCTTTAACTATCATCAATGGACTGCCTCCATTTTCTAAACTTGCCACACTTGTAGTACCTCTAAAAATATTAAAAGTTACATCATTTTTATATTTTCAAAAATTCTCTTAAAAAATATTTTAAACTTCTTAAAATATTAATTACGATATTTTAAAATTTTAAAAAATAACTATAATTTTAAATTTTTAATATTATATTTATTATTATTGTTATTAACTCACTCTTAACATACTTTAAAATAAAAAACTTCAAACTCATTATTTTAAAAAAAAAATTAATAAATTTTTAATTTTATTCATATTAAATATGCATAGTTGCTATCATACTTTCTTTCACTAATATTTAATAAAATTATCAAAAAACTTGTAATAAAAATTCAATTACATGATTTATAAATTGGGTAGCAAAAATTTTATTTCTATCTTATAAATAAGATTGAAAAGAGTAGCCTTTAATTCAAATATTTTAAAAAAATTAATATTTACTTGTCAAATATTCATATTTATAAGTAAAATTGCATCATTTATAAATTAAATTTAACAGTTTAGTGTTCACAAATCAAACTTTCATACATTAAATTAAATTTAATGTTTACAAGTCACATATTTTTTTTAGTCACCGTCAACTCTCATGACACCTATCAATATATATATTAAATAAAATTAAGCAAATTTATTTATATTTAATTTTGTCACCTGATATCTATGAATAATTTTCTCTAAAAATAAAAAGAAATACACCCCAAAAATCACTCAAGAATCAACGCATGGGTGACAATATTTTCTTTCTTTAAGTATTTTGGGACCCAACAAAGACAGTGTCTCAATTTACCTTTGTGTAAAAGTGCTCCACCCTCTCCCACCAAACAGAAAAGAAAAGAAAAGAAAAGAAAAAAAGTGCTCCACTCTCTCTCAATTCTTCTCTTCATATGCTTTACACGTGGTGGGGTAGGATCGCCCTGCATTGCTGTCTCCCATTCCATGGAAATGGTTCTTCAGTTCTTCCTCGTCGTGTGACTTTATTTCACCGGAGCCAGAGAGGGTAGTTTTATCCTTAGCCATTTTTAGCATCTGTAAATATTTTCATCTTCTTTTTTATCTATTAGATTTTATTTATTTGTTAATTCTTCTATCGAAGATGTCATCCTATATGTATTATTTTAAAGAAATCATTTTCGTACAGTTTTGAAATTAAAAGAAAAATTAAGTTTGACCCCAAAAAAGGTAGAGTTTCCTTGCTCGCGGCTGAGCTCGATGGCTTACGGTTTGTACTTTGTACCTTTTGGTTGCCGATGTAATGGAATTGAATTTTCTATTGAAGCAAATATTGAAGCAAAACACTCGAGAACATAAACCACAAAAATCAATGAGATAACATTTTTCGACTCGCGTTATATGATTATAGTGCCTTGAGAAGCTTAAAGTCAACGCCACCATCACAAGTAGGGAAAATTGTTAAAAACATTTATCACCACAAATTTAATTGTGGAGAAGGACCAAAAAACTTTTCAAATAAGAGGTCATTTGGCAGCAAAGAATAACTCAAGTTAAAGATCAAAATGCCCTTATTCCCTCACTCTGCCAATCGCTGCTCACTCACCTTCTTTCTCAAACTATCAATCATCGCTTATCCTTCCTTGATCCTGCAAGTTTACGCTCTCTCGCTTTAAAGACTAAAACCTTTAGTTTTTTGTTGATCAAGATCACGCTGCTAACGCAAAACAAAAGGATGAATCTTGTCGATTTTATTTGCAAAGCTCTTTATGTTTCAAGCGCACGTGCCTAGCTCAATAGATAGTAGAGAATTGGAACCAAGCCAAGGGGGATGGGGTTCGAGGAGGGGTGCGGTGAAGAAAGGGAATGTGGATTTGGTCATGGTAAATGAGGAGAAGGGCGCGTTTGGGTTGCCGAATTTGATGAAGGTGGCTGCAAAGGTTTTAGGAAATAAAGGGTTGGGATTGGCGTATAATGCAACCATGGCGAGTAGGTCGTCGGTGGTGGTGAAGGGAGCGAGAGCCATCAATCAGAGAGCAAGAGATTATTTTGATGCCAAGATGAGAGGTTTTGGGAGAATTAGACATGCCAACATCTTAACCATTTTGACTCATCATTTTCACAAAGAGAAGAAGCTCATCATCTCCAAATACATGCCTCAAGGCAGCTTGTTGTATGTTCTGCATGGTACTTTTGCATACTCATCATTTTTTTAATTCAAAGTGATATCATTCCTATTCAAGCTCTAACAAAATACAACAAAGAGGATCTCCTCTTATTATCGTCTACTACCTTCCAATAGTAAAAGAAAAATTGATTAAAAGAACGAAAAGATCATAATAAATCAGGCTCATTAGTGGCTAACAAATGAGCATACACATTAGCCTCCCTAAACATAAATGAAAGTATTACAAAACTACTCTTAAACAAAAGAAATCAACCATGACCAATTATATCTTTAAGGGAATGCAAAGTTAAATCAAAATAAGTGATAAGATTCATCACCTCTACACAATCTATAAACACATTAATGGTTGGAACCCTACTTGTGAGCAAAGTTCTAACCCTTAGATGATAGCAATATTTTGATGATGGCTGGGAAAGTTTCCCATATTTGAATTAGAACCAGCAATCTAATTAGCATTATTGTTTCTTAATACACAACCATATCTAGAGATGCCTATTCTATATGAGCCATCTATATGAAGCCTCAAAATAGAATCTTTAGGTCTGTACCAATGACTCTTACCTCCTTCCCTTATGAAATCTCTTATATGAAAATCTTTTCAGCTTTAAATCATTATATACCCTTCATATCATGTCAAAGTGCTATTTATCCTCCACCTCCTCCTTTAAGAAAATAGTTTTTCACATCTAGAACACTAGAGATCCCAACAAACATACCCAAACAATACATCTTAAGGTAACTAATTTTTGTTCTCATTCATTGCAAAATGTTTCAGGTTCACCCAATTCGCTCCATTATGATTCTTGAAATTGCTCTACTCCTCAGCTTTGACTAGTTTATTCCATTATTCCTCCGCTCTCGAATAGTCTCTAATTAGGTGCATTACATCTTCCTTTTGATTGCAACTCCACGAACATTAGTTGGATTCCCCACAACCACATTGGACTCTTAAAGCGGCTGTGTGTAGTCTCTCTTGAGCTAAGAGCAACATATGAATCTTGATTTTTTTGGTCTAAGCCAACTCTAAATTTCATTCCAAATTTCTCCCACCACCGATGGTGTACTTGCAACAAGAAATTTACATGCAAAGGAAACATTAACATTCTCATATGAAGATGGCTTCTATATGAATGATTCCTCTCCTCTCTTAATTATCGGGCTATAAGTATGAGCAATACTATGAATGATGTTTTTAAGTAGCCATAACCTTATTTTATCAAGCTTCCGAACATCATTCTCACCAACAAACTCATCAACGTGAACCTCTACATCAAAGTTGTCATTCACAACAAGGTGGGCTAGGGGCGCATCAAAAGGTGCTCACAAATTAGTCTAGAGCTTTATTGTTTGACCATTCCCAACTCTCTTCCCTACTCCCATGATAAAACTTTCCCAACAGTTAACAATACTCCTTCATGTTAGTGATTCATTTGCCCTTTTCTTCACAATTAATACATCATTAACACTATACTTATATTTAGCTTTTAGAACCCAAACTCTAGAGACTTATCATTATTGAGAAGCTTCTAACAAGTTTTATTTTGGATATTAAGATCTTTGATACCTAAGCCCCTTTCTTCTTGTCTTGAATTACATCCTTCCAAGCAAGTAAATGTATCTTCTTGTGCTCACTAGTATCACACCACAAAAAATTTCTATACTCTTTATCAATCTTAACAATCATCTTTTTGGGTAATAACATTGTTTGCAAGTAGTAACTAGGCATTGTAGAAATTACTGATCTAATTAAGACAATTCTACCATCAGTATTAAGAACCTTCTTCTTCCACCCCGACAAACGCTTCTTGGATTTATCAAGAATAGGAGCACAAAGACTATACGAGGCTCTCTGATAAATAAGTAGTATTCCCAAATACTTTCCAAGATCCCTTGTTAGCTTAACTTGTAACCTACTACTTAATTCAATTATTCTATTCAGATGCACATTCTTTAAGCATTGCATATGAGTTTTGCTGTTATTCATCTTCTAACCTAGGTAATAACAAAATTTCTGAATACACCCCTTAATGACTTCCACTTACTCTAAAGATGATTCTAAAAAAAGAACAAGGTTATTAGAAAAAGAAAGACAAATGTGTGATATCAAGTCCATCCTTAATGTCTTTGAAGGGTTTCCACTTCTTTCTCTCCACTTCATTAGCTATAATATGGTTGAGCTCTCTATACATAAAGTGAACAGATACGAAGACATAGGGTCTCCTTGTTTGTGTGCTTTTGAGGGTTGAAATTGATCAAATTGCTCACCATTTCATAGGACTTTGAAGCTTGCAGTGGTAATACAAGCCATAATAACCTTGCGCAAACTTTCATTAATGCCCAGTTCATAGAGTGTATGAGATATGAAGTTCCAATCAACTTGTCATAGGCCTTCTCTAAATCATCTTTGATAGCCATGTACCTTTTTTTCTTCTTTAAAATCTTCATTGAGTGGATTACTTTTTATGCCACAATGATGTTATGGTTACTCTGACAGCTGAGGGTAAAGCTACTTTGGTGAGGGCCAATCACTTTACCCATTATTAGTCTTAGCCTATTCACAATAACCTTTGAGATGATTTTGTAACTAAAATTACATAACGATATAGGCCGAAACTCCTTCATATTTGATGGGTTCTCCACTTTTAGTATCAAAGCAAGATGGGTGGAGTTTAGATCAATTACTCTCTCAGGATTGTTAAAAATGTTTTTCACCATTTCACAAATAGACTGGATGATGACATCCCAATGATTTTGGAAGAAAAAAGCCTGAATGCCATTTGGCGTCGGGGCTTTAAAAGCACCTATTTCAAAAACAGCAACTCTGATATCGACATTACACACCTCACGATGAATATCACATAATTCAAAATTGCTAAGATGAGGAAAGCTTTTTGAAGTAACAAGTCTTCTATCATCAATAAACTCCTTGTGAAACAATTTTTGATTGTAATTTTGAGCCATGCACTTAAGTTCATTATTATCAACAACCTATTGGTCTTCAACCTTTTTTAGGGCATCAATTGAATTTTTCCTTCTCCTTACAAGCATAGAAGTATGAAAAAACTTACTATTCTTGCCCCCCCCCCCCAACTAAAGCCAATGACACCTGGATTTTTAGGGCCACAGCAGTTCTTCTTGAGCACACCTTATTGTACTCAGCTCATAATTCCTTTTCAACCTGTTGCAAGTGAGAAGGATCACGATTTATTCTAGCTCTATCAACCTCTTATAATCTTCTAAGCAATTTCTTCTTTTTTTGAGGTATATTTCCGACTCTATCCAAGTTCCACTTTGTTGCAGCATTTGTGAACTTTTCTACATTGTGAACTCAGTTATCACCTAACCAAGAGTCTTTAACAAGATCAATATAATCAGGCTTAAGGCTCCAAGCCACTTGGCATTTGAACGAATTAATTCTACGTCTTAGAGCAGGGCAATTTTGAAACTTGACATACAAGGGTCTATGGTCATAATTTCTGCAGAAAAAAATTTCTCTTGTTATTTCTCCACTAGTTTCACATCTCTGACTTAACAGAGTGCTTTAGCATGTATACCAGCCTGTGGAACACACATCATTCATAAGCATAAGTGAGTTACAGTACTTGCCTTAATTGTTGAGAATTCTTCATTCAAAATCTCTGGCAAAGGCTATGGCATTAATGTCTTTGTTTGTTGCGCCCCTTTCAATCAATGCAGATGTCATTTGAGTCATGATCTTCAATGGCAATGGATCCCAAGAATACTCCCATAGCAGCTCAAGTAGTGCTTCATATAAATGTTAGTGTAATACGAAAGGAGGGAGAATAACTATTGATTTATGGTTCCCAAATCAATTAAACCCCACGAGCAAGGAATGATAATTCATTTGCTTGCTCTACTGGGTAACAAGTAATAATATTCACATAAACTCTTGAAAGAGTTTTGTGTTTTAGATTTGTTGTTATGTTTCTAGGTTGAATCTGAGCATCATCATGTACTCAATTGTCATGCTCTAAGGCTGAGTTCTTAATCTGCATTTCGTGTTGAGGCCCAAACTTGATTTATACCTATCTCGCTTTTTATTAGTCCTTTCAATATTGTATAACACAGAAGTGACATAGTTTCAGTGACCCAGATGCGTCTTCTGTAATTTGGGTAATGTTGATAGATCCATATGTGGATTTCACTTGATAGGTATGACTTCATGATAGATCCATATAGGCAAATTTTTTGATGGGGATGACTTCATGTTAATCCGAAAGTGAATGCTTGTTTTTGCAGCATTGTAGCTTACAGAGGGCAAAAATGCAAGCTATGCGCCAACTGTATGCAGCTAAAAATTCTCTTATATATGCATTGGTGACACGTAATCTTCTTTATACGTGGAATAGTACCCATGACTGCGGGAACTTGGACAGCTGGAGCAAGATCTTGTTTTTGGAGATGAAAAGTGTGATCATGTGAAGAATTAGAAGAAAATTCTGAAAAGGATGCCACTGAAGAAGATCATCAAATTAATGTAAAAGAATGACTTATCAGAAAAAAATTCAAAGACTGTGAAGAATGATTCCTGGTTATTTGTAGTTGATTATGTATTTTATTTTGTTGTAATGTAATTATTATGTATTATCATGTTGTAATATAGTTTATGTTATCAAAGAATGTATGAACATGTTATTGTATAATGATAAAGAATTTTTGAATACATCCTATTACTGTAAGTATTATCTTGCTCATAAGTATGATGTTAGCAGAATATATATTTGTAATATCCTAAAAATACGATAGTATTAATTAATTATATTTGAATATACATTTTTACATCTTAAAAACCCAATGTTCATTTGCGCTTTTAAAATATTCATTGCTATTTTCGTGAAAAATACTACAATTTTCAAAATATGGAAAAGTATATTCAAATATAATGTATATTTCATATAAAATTTTGACATCAAGGTTTTTTTTTTAATATGCAAAAAGCTTATTTGAATATAAGGTGCATTTATGAAAATTTTTGAAAAAAGATTCATAATATGCAAAAGTGATATCAATATATAAAAAGGATATTAATATGTTATATTCGAACATGCAAAAAGTAACATTTAAATATATAAAAGAAAATTATATTATGTTGAAAATCAGTCACATATCGTGTAGAAAACATCGCATATGCTTTCAAAAGCATCCATGAAGAATATTAATATGGGATATTCAAATATATGAAAGAAAATTACATTTTGTAAAAGATAAATTGCATACTATGAAAGAAACATCACATATGCTTCCAAAGACATCCATTAAAAATTTTAATAAGTGATATTCAAATATACAAAAGTAATGTTTGAATATACAGAAGTTAAATTACATTTTCTTGAAAATTGCATGTGCACAGTGAAAAAAAGATTGCATATGACTAAAGCTAAATTGCATTCAATATAAATATTTCACACCAACACATAATTTTCAATATATGTAAATTGCATTCCTAACTTTTGACACCAAAACATAATTTCAAATATACAATTTGAATATTTAAATGTATGAAAGTTTGATTGAGTTTACTTAGAGAATGCTTGCATACCGTGAAAAACTTTATTTTCATGAAAACCTTACTTGATATATTGACACTAAATGACCTTATTTGACATATTAACACTAAAAAACTTTGTTTGACATGTCGACACCAAAATCATCAATAGCAAAGGACTTTGTGACGTATTGACAGCAAAAACCTCATATGAAATATTGATAGTAATGAACCACACTCAACTTTTTGTTTTTTTAATCAGCAAGGACAATTCTGTTATTTAGCCTTAGCAATTACTAACAACAAAGAACTTTCTTTTGAAATACGTATCAAATCGTTGTGAGCAAATTAATTTCTGGTCAGGTTTTTCTTTTTTTTTTCTTTGCAATTTTCCTTTACAAATATGCCGCAGAAAACCACCCAACGGAAGAGTTGGGACTCAAGTAAACCTGCACCCACTATCTTAAGTTTAATAATAACGATCGTCGTCGTTATCCTCATCATCATCATCATGTCATCATCATTATTATTACTATTTCAACAATCGAAATTTCCAAGCCAGGTCGTGGCCCCACCCCCAGTAATGATACAGAATTGAACTTGATAATCAAACATGGAATCATACCAACTACAGGAAATGAGAAAGCCCCCGAATGCACTTGACCATTGAACTTGGGAAATGGGAACAGAATTCAGAGTAATTTGATTCAGGCAGCAAGTTTTACTTTCACATGGGTTAGTATAGCGAGTTCAGTAAGCGTAACTGCGTAAATATGAAAATGAATTGTCTATAAGGTTACCTACGGCAGAAACAATGGCATGGCCTCTACAAAAAGAACATTGCTTTCCGCTATCAATTAGATTGCTTCCTCTACCTGTGAAAGAATAACAAAAGAATTGAATATTGACTTCTTTATAAAAATCCTCACGTTAAGCAAGCTTCTTCGCCCGACCACTTGAAGGAGCGCTGTCATCTTTCCTGGTCCCAGATGCCTCGGGCTTGCGAGCCCAAGCTGGAGCTCTATCTGGCTCATAACGATAATCATAAAAAAGTTCCTCCCCAGCACTGATCCTTTCCTTGGCAAAAATCCCTACTCTGTGATCTCCAGCAACCATAATAACCTGCCAGAGTTTAATTTGATAGCCACTGTATATTAGACTGACCAACGAGACACTTCATGCTATGTAAAACAAATCAAAATGATCCAACATCCAAGCAGCAGAAATTAAATACCTTGGCATAACAATTCGGATCAGGAGAATGGTTGGCAAACTTCAATTTATCACCCTTTCGATAAGCATCAAGAACAAACTGCATATAGCAATATGACGACTCATCCATAAAAAGAACTAATTTACCGGGGGGGAAAAACAAAAGAACCACCCCATACCTGATCATTTAGATTAAAGAGAAAAGATGAATTCTCGCGATCATATATCTTTCCCCGCTTATCTGCTTCCCGATGTGAAATTAACTCTCCAGTATACTCTCCAAGGTATTCATGCTTTCCAACACTGCTCTGAAGGACGAATAGATTGCATCAGTAGAAGGAAAAAACAACTGCGCAGCAATATGCCATGATCAGTTAAGTTGTTGGCCAATACCTTTAAGAAAGCTCCCCAGCCAGATACATCAGACCTTCCAAGAAGAACCTATATATATATATATAGGACGTAAATTGACAACAAAAGAGGCTCATCATCTCAAGGGGGATAACAAAGAACAGACAAAACCCACATGAAGATTTGATTGATGAAATAGAACAAGTCCACGCAAACCCCCTTGAAATAGAGTTATCAAAATTTCAAAACCTCTGCTTTTCTATTTAATTATATTTTTTTATTAATTTCCTTAAAAAAGTACAAAGATCAAGTCCTTATCGCAATAAATCCCAGTAGTGTGTAAGAACAAGTTTTTCTCATTAGGACTAAATTGAGAAAATGCATTATCATATAGGCACTTGGCTCATTATTCCACTTAGAACCTCTTATCCTATATCATAGTTTTAGAGAAATACTTAGGTAGACTGGATATATCACGACATTTGTGGTCTGTTCAATAAAAATGCTCCAAGTGATTTAAATAAAATCTTGTTTGACATTTTTTTAATTGATTTTATTTTTATAACAGAATGCACTTTTGATTTCTTATTTTTTCTCTCTACTATTGCTAATATTAGAATTAATTTATATTTAATGACATCTAAATATTATGTTTTTATTGGATAGATCACAAATGATGTGGTGCACCCAGTTTACTTAATTATGTCTCCATAGCTTCAAACGTGAAATGTTCACAACATGCCCCACATAACGTTGGCTTTGACATGGCAAACCATCATCCATGTTCAGCTCGATTAACCTGCAAGATTCAATACTAGATAGAGGTTCGGTCAAAACTTGTCAATTCAGACTGGCTTACAGGAAAATATAGTTTGAGTCTGGATTTATAAATGCCTAGTTGACTGTAGAACAAAGCTTTTGATGACATTAGTTTGCCAGAACGTGATATGACCATCAGGAATAAAAACACTCCTACTGAGGCCGAAAATGCAACTTAAAAGAGAATAAAACTCTTTCTTATTACTCTAAAATATCAAAATTTAAGCTTCTCCAAAAACAAACACTGAGCTTTTGCGATCAACAAAAATTAGAAGAGTAAAAACAAACACAAGCCAGATGCACTAGATTATGTCTGAAAAGTATATATTACCATCTATCCAGTTTCCCCCCTCTTTTCGGAGTTTGCTGAGAAGAATTTTATTGAAAAGGAACTAAATGGTCTCAATAACTTTGTTTAGCTTTAAGAAACAAAAAGGAAGGGCTGAAAAAGTATCAATGTAGTTACCCTTTGCTGCTGTTTGAGAAGAAGCTTCATATTTCTACATTCATAATTATCACCCCTTTGGCTGGGAATCCCTAGGGTACCATCACCGCAACTGCCAAATATGATTGATCACTCATATAGCAGAAACTAGCATGTCGAATAGGAAACTTGAGACATAATCATTGACATCACAAGTATAACAAGCAACCAAATTTCATTTAAAAGAAAGGAAAAGAGAACATAAGTGGAACCAATCCTAGATGTTATTTAAACCCAATCACTATCAGGGGAACTGTGATAGACAGACCAAGGCAAAATTGCCAACCCGTCAACTGCAAATTGAGTTAAGCAACAGATAACAACAGCAATCCATTCTGTCTTAAAACCCATGTTCTGCCTTGCTTCTAGTTTGATAGAAAAGTAAACAACAGGTCAACGTTAGGGTTATTTCAAGTTGTTTCTCACTTTAGTGACTTGTTTCGTTTAGGTGAGCACCTTTCGAGCATCTCTTGAGGTGTATTACAATTCTAGGACTTTGAGGAAACCTTTCACCTTTGACAACTTTGATCACCTAGGCTAAAATTTTGCAATTGGCAGGATATCATATGAAACTTGTTCTGATTAGTTCCAGGAAAAGAAAAAAGGATTGCCAAATAAATCCTCTTTTTCCATTCATTGACATCCAAGTTACATATCAAATTATATGAACCTTGTTCTAATTAGTGCTGATTAGTGGGATAAGGTTTGTTATCATTCTAATTAGTACCAATTCTCTCACCACCTCTACCTTCTCATTTGATTCTCATTCTATCATCCTCCCTCAATCTTTCTGCTCTTCTAGGAGTCATCAATGACAAGTTCCTATGATAACTTTCCAGATAAACAAGAGAAATATATCATGCACCATAAATGTGAGCCTGTCAATTGTTTAAAATCCATAAGCAAAACTTATGCAGCTTAGAGCAATGCTACACACATCAGACTGCTAACAAATAATATTTTACCAGACCCTTCAGTCCAAAAAACGAAAGAAAAATTACCTGACCCAACAATTTCTACAAACATCTGGATCACATTCCCTATCTGCAGCAAAACATGGACATTGACGACTCCGGCATTGACTTTTTGCACAATGACAGCCACGAAATCGATTCTTGCAACTCTTTGGGCATCTTGGAGCAAATAATCTTATCAGTTAATGGATATTAAATCCACATGCTTGATGGAAACATGACATAGATAATGTAGGACAAGAGAAGGAGAAGAGAGAGAGAGAGAGGAATAATAAGGGAAATGAAGGAACAAACTGGAAGTGGCAAAGTATGTAACAGCAAAATTCTCAATAGTACTTCAATAATCAATGAGGTCTACAATGCAATTAACCCTAGGCTATTTAGAGTCCCAAATATGATAATAAATGATAACTTAAACCTAAATAAAAAATTAGGTAAAATAAAATAAACCCTAACTAACTTAAAATTAAAGAATAAAAGAATTTACTAAAACATAAAACAAATTTAATTAAAATCCCTGAACTCTTCCACCCCTAGAGTAACTCTTCCCATATTTCCCAATTGCAATTTACCTATGCAATCTATGACTAGAATCTTTATGGTTTCTCAAACAACCAAAGCATGCAAATAATGAGCAGTAGCACAACTCCACAAATGAAGTCCCTCTCCTTCTTTTATGGTACTACTCCCATCTGGGTTAAATTTAAAAACTTAAATTGTACCCAAAAAAAAAAAATCTGAAGCTTACCCACAGTATTTCTCACAGCAGGTTCCATTTTGAAGACAAGGGCACTGCTTTCCGCATGCTGATTGACAGCCACATGGATTATACTGCCGGCAGGGCTGATCCTTTCTCTCTGTGATCCTTTTTCTGATTGAATGGTAGGCAGCAGACTTCCAGGTGTACTTTAAGCGGCGAACTCTTCCCCTTCTACGTAAAAACCTTGATCTTCGTCTTACTTCATTATTACCCTTAAGTTCATTTAACCACAATAATGGTCAGGGCAGGCAGCAGATGCGACAAAGAAAAGCATAACATGTTAAAAACCACCAAATGCCATCGCTTTAAAATTAACCTTGGAATAGCCTTCCATGAGGGAAATTTCAGCATCACCAGTAGAGCCTGACACCTTTCCCTGGTTGCAATTAATGTATTGGAAAACCTCCCAACATGTCTTTAGACCATTTAAGAGATTCCTGGAAATTAAACAGCTGCCATAAAAATAGATCAGTGACTTATTCATGAAAAATGAGAGAAGTTTTCTTGTCCATATAAAGCAGAGCAACATTTTAATAACATATGGATAATTTATGAAAATTGGATTATCTAGCCTCAATCACTTCAAATCTTTTTCCCATAACTTTATGTTTTCTACCTTAGATATTTAACAAAGATGTGCAACACTAGTATATTAACATTCTGCTAGTGTTTATTTCAAGACCAATGAATGTAAGAGATCTGTTATCAAATCATAATAAAAACAGAGAGTTAACTCAATAGCAGAGACAAGAGCATTTGAAACTGAAATAGCCGTGAAAAAGATTTAACACAGTATTTCCAAATGGATGCAAATTATAAATTCTTTCCCCATGAAAGTGCCAACTGCTAAGTTGTGCTTCATATAAACACTTGAATCGCGGGTCATTCATGTTTCTATTAAATTTCTTGCAAATTGCCTGAACGTTGAGAAAAATATATTTTTATCCATGTAAAAATGTCAATAGCATATGCAGACCTGTTTCTACCAAAAATTTCAACTCCTTTCTCCAAAAGCCCCTTTTCAAGAGGTTTCCATAACTTATTGCCAGTACATTGTTGCGTGCATACATTCTCATCAAAGAATTCTTCCTTCCTCAAGATGTCATTGCTACTACTGACAGGTGGGTCAGAAGCTATCCCATTCAATGAACAATCAGGAGCCTCACCCTGCAAGATTATTATGAGTTACCAGTTTGTTCCTCAAAACTGTCCAGTGAATTACGGGGAAATATCTTTATACATGGAGACAAAATATGCTTTTTTTGTCAAGCCGACAAGCCCTGAAGTTAAATCCATGTTTTCCAATCACTTGGCAAAAGAAGATCACTCACAATGGAATCAGAATCTGAAAGCAGTGTTTTCTTCTGCCTTTTCTGCAAACAAACTAGGACACATTCTGCTGCACGCTTACTGTTCCTTGTACCTATTCCACCTTTCCCCAGAGTTTTAGTTTTAGGAGATGCTGAGTGGGAGGCTGAGGCAGTTTCCTGTCCAGGACCATTACCATTCTCTGAGTCACTACTTTCAGATATGTTCTTCGCATTGGATGAAGTACTTTCACTTTGGCTGCCCTTTACCCACCTTCTAGCAGATGGGCCAAAAGACTTCTTCCTATATGCTATATGCATCCCAGCACCACCTGAGCTTTTCTTCTCAGCATCTCCCTGGGAAGAAGAGGTCAATCCGGCAAATCTTTGTGGTTTTAGTTCCTGAAATAAGTTAAGAAAACTTAGGTATGCCGTTACCAAGATAAACAGATTCTCGAAAGACCAAATGCCTACCAATTGAAAACAATTTGGACCACACGGTGTACTTTCAGCATTAGGAGGGATCCACACAGGTTGTTTCTCAGCCTGTTATTGTATTAAGTCAAGAAATATTCTCACAACTGCAAAAGAAATAACAAAATGAATAAAACTTACAGGAAACACAAGATCCTGAGAACATCCATGCAATCTGCAATCGAAAACCTACAAAGTGAAATTAAATGCAGCAAGTGAGATATTAAATGTTGAAAAAAAAAAGGACTAGCTATATGGTGCAATTCAAGATAAAAAGCTCACAAGACATCTACGGCAGAAAAGGTTGTCAAAAGAATCAAGAGCTGCTTCAAGATCTTTTTCCAGAAAAGAGTTTCCACTTAGTGAATTCTCTTCAGTACCAGCACTCTTAGAAACCCCACCAATGTTTTCTCCATTACTAATAACTTCATATCTTGCCTGTATAAGATGTTTGATGGTGGTTCATATCTCTGTAAAGCCAGCACAAAGCAAATGGGAAACAGCTGGACCAAAGCTCATACTATGACCAGTTTTCATCAGGCTAATTGAAAGAAAGATGGTGGAGGTGAAAAAAGACATTAGGGAACAATACCAATGAACAACATCTCATACCTTAAGTTCACAAGTGTTTCTAGAGAAACACTGAGCCAGAGACTCCAGTACAAGATCAGACAAACCAAATTCTTTGACTGCCATGCTGTAAAATTAGACAAGTATTATGAAACGAGTCTCATATACTGATGATAAACACCATTCAACATGAGAGTTGGACATCTAAACTCAAAAAACCATGAATCAGTAACATACGAACAACCCAAAAAAAAAAAACAAGAAGAGGATTTCCTCAATATATAAATCACAGATGATGAACAGCTGTACAAAGTTCCATCTCTTAATGGATAGCTGTGGGCACAAAGAACAATAAAGTAAACAAACAGTATAAATTCAACATACACCTCCTCCAATACAAAACTTAATCCTATAAACAAATACGCAAGAAGCCTCAGGCAACATCCAGACACAAGACCTTTTTCAAATCGCTGGTGCAATAAACAAAAGCTAAGATTGTAAAAGGGTGAGGTGTCGGTAGAGGCATAGGGTTTAAACCTACAAAATATACCGCAAAAAAATCCAGTACACGGCAAAGAAAAAAGGTGAAAGCATGAACAATACTTTTCTAAGCTATACCAACCGAAGTATATAATCTTCAGATTCCACAAAATCCCTTTTTTCCTCTTCTTCCTCAATTATTTCCTCTTCGCTGTCACTACAGATAAGTGCCTCTCCACCGTTTTGGTCATAATAAATTCTCCTTCGACCTACTACAGACTGATCCTCAGTCATTCTTTGATTTCTGCACCGGAATTGACACAGTTAACTAATATTTTGAAAAAGATCAATATTGTGCTTATTAGGAGGACATAAAACAGTAAAGCCAAAAATCAACAAATTAAATGGGCAATGACTACAATGCCAGAAAAGGAAAACTCAGTATCATATGGAAAATTAAAGCAAATAAAAACAAAAAGTAAAGAGGGAGAGGCTTCAGCGCTTCAGGGAGAGAAAAATCATCATTAGAAGTAAAATTCTTTAAATGATGTCTGCCATTTTTTTATTATATAAGGTCACCAAAGCAACCAGGGATCAGATTGACAGACAAATGGAAATGCAAGTTACAATTCAGTCTGTTACACAGATACACAATTGATTAAGCATTAGAATAAAAGCATGACATGGACAGGATTCTTGCACGCTGAGAATGAAAAACACAAGTCTCTCGACAAACCTGTCCAGAAAAATCCACGTAGTATAAGGAGGTAATCTTTTTGCTTCTGGCAGCTTGATAGGGCGAACAGCATTCTTTACTGCAACGTTAGATCCTAGAAGGACTGCTGTAGAAAAATTGCAATCCTGGGAACCGTTGCTCTCCTTGTCACCATTACTTGCATGAATATCATTGCGCATATTGATTGCATCTTTTTGCCTCTTCGTCAGTAGGTCTGGATTTCCATTAGTATCGGCAATGCCACAAATTCTTCTTCCCATTGATGATTTATAAAGATGATTTGTGACGCCAGTCAGCTTCTGTCTATTGTCTTCCATTCTTTTCTGATATTAAAATGCATGCAAAGGTGTTGTAGTTTGTGTGAAATATTCAAGAGACCGGCATAAAATCAATGACATTCCAATAATACGTAACATACTGCACCTTGATGGAAACACACCGCTCAGCAGATATATGTTTTTTTAATGAATCAATAACCGATAACACATCCTCAGGAGTCGGACCTGGGCCTTGTGCCATCTGCATCAGACAAGGAAACTAGCATCCTTACAACCATATTGCAAGATAACTCAAGTGAATATGTGAGTCGCACTCAACGTGGAGAATTCCTGACGAGAAGTATTGCAAAAGAACTGTGAACTCAATGAAGCATAACCATTGGATGCTCGGTGCACGGATTACAGCTTAATAACTGTAATCTTTCGTGCCGGCCCGAAGCCAGTAGATTAAGAAATTACTTCCAAAATAAGCTGAGTAAAGTGAACGGCGCAACGCCAATAGATCATAAAACATATATATTGAATCAAAGTCAGAGCCGAAATTACCGCCGGAAGCGGAGCCAAGCAAAATAGCTGCCGTGAGTTTCCAAGAGAAAAATAAAGAAACGAATGAATGCATTCAAGTGCCACTAGAGCGAAGTTAGAGTGTATACCGAGGAGTCATTGGTAGCCCCAAATCTAACATTAGCAGAAGCGACAGCCATAGGCTTTGATGCCATTGACGACGGCAAGACTGGCGAAGCTTAAAAGGACCCGGTGCGGCAATGAGCAATCGGATCGAGACCCGATTCATACAGAAAAGTGTTCGCGAATAATGGCGAGATACGGAGAATGGTTGGGTATAGAATTGAGTGAAATCGGCGGGTCTCGTCGAAACCCTAGTTACTCACGTCTCAAATTTCTGGAATTAGGGAGACGCTTCCCCATCCTGCCGCTTTGACAGGACTTGGTCACTTTAATATTTCGGTATTTATTACGTTTCGGGAAGTGACTGGAATGGGGGGAACATTTTGAATCATACACTGTAGAGAGGAGACAGTCCCATCCCTGCTTTCTTGAAACAGAAAAACTTACGTACTTTCAGTTTTATTATTATATTATTTGGGAATTGGGGATCTTTGATAGCTGAGAAAGCATAGTCAATCAATGAATAAATTCTACCGCAAAATCTATGGAGCTTTGGGTACTGTGATTGAGAGCAACGTCAAGCCCCATGAGCCCACCCAAGCCCATCAGAAAGTCACTGAGTAGCCTCTGCTCCACAGCATTTGCCAGCGGCAGAGATTCTCCCTTCTAAAGGATAGACAACTCTATAGTTTGCATAATTTACGAGGGATAAATGTGGATAAAAGTGTTTGCAGGAATTTCATATTACAGGCATGTTGTATGATTCTGTCGAGGCCAAACCTTCATCATATAATGGCATTTGTTCATCTACTTTCTCAAGCTTGCAGTCTTTTTCTAGTTATTTCTATTTTGATGTGTGATGGATTATTTCTATCCTCTCTAATATGTAGAGTATTATTCTGTAATCTCCATTGCAGACTTTCAGATAAGTCTTCGTAAGCAGCTACTATATCCTTCATGTATTTCTGTCATAGTCATCTCCTACTCAAAATCTACGCACGTATGCTCTCTTTTTTATCTTTCAATTCATTGCTTTTCTTTTATCAAAGCAATAAGCTTTCTATTTTTCCCCCTTATTGCCCTGATGATGTATTAATTGTATTGGCAGAGGAGCTGGAGTTTTTATTAGTTGATCTGAAGCAACTATGCAAGACTTGATCTTCTTCATGCTTTACATATACACTGATGATGATAAGCATCGGTAAGCTTATAACCTCTGACCGTTGAGAACTTATTTTTGATGTAATTTTCATTATGTCTTAATGATTTTTAGGTTTTAAATATTTTCCCGCACGTCCACATTGCTTCCACTATATATATATATATATATATATGAGTGTGGATCATGCGTTATCAACATTATCTGCTTTTTCCACGTTAAGACCGTCAAATCAAAGCTGGATTGAAAATATTTTCAAGAGACTGGCTGTTGATTATTGCACTAGACTAGCATGAAATATTTTTAATTTTTATGCTTTATTTGTTCGATCGATTGATTGCTTACCGTGTAGGTAACGATGGAAAGTACCTGTACGAGTTGTCTATGGGCTTTTTATGCAAGTTTGTCCAAGGACGTTTAACAACACTTGGTTTTTGGGTAAAAACGTTGTTCTCTGATTGTGTAATTGTTAGAATCTTAATGTGTAAATATAAGTGCAGATCTTGTTTAATTTATTTGATCAACATCCAGCACACATGCAATATTATATATTGCTTGCCATTACGATTTTTGTTCCTTTTTTTCTATCCATCCCTGTATATCATGCGGCGTTCTGATATTCTTCGAGTGTCATCAATTTAATTATATTATTAATATTAATATTACTCGTCTACCTGCCTCCTTAATTAGGTGTAATCTTTATCTTATTCAGTGTGCAGATCTACCTTGGTGTCTTTTCACACGCAGTTTTTATTCCTGTTTGCATCTAATACTGCCGCATGTCTACTTATTTCTTAATATCTTCTCATTTCTGTCCATCAATCTTTCATCTTTATCTTCAATTTTCCGTGGGTGACCACCGTTTTTAATGCTGCTTACATTATCAGAGTTCGTGGTAAGGGTTTTTCTGGGAAGTTGACGGAGGTCTTCCCTGGCAAATCATCAAGTCTTTGAATGCCATTATTATTGCTGATGTTCAGGCGTAGTTATTATTTTATTTTTGTTCATTCATTTGTCGTGTGGCTGATATAGTTGTGATCTAACATATACTCATAACCTTATCGTCATGCACAGGGTTCCCGAAGAGTTCTGATCATCATAGATTTGGATCTCATCCATAGGCCGTGGCTGATTCTGCGAGATGACTTTTCATATGCTTTTCCACTGGGAAGGCTGACTTGAATGCAAGATTGTTCCCTTTGGCGACGACATATAAATGATATTCTTGTTTATAAGCAAAAACTTGTTGCCGTACCATGTGCCTCAGGTATTCCACCTTAATTAATGCTACTGATGTGCAGCGTAGCGATTCAATCATATGCATGTTGTTTTACTTTGCAATGTCATTATACTCTTACTATAATTATTTCCATATAGGATCATTGGGCATTACATTCATGTAATTAATTTCTCATTCTTCGGAAGATGTTGAGGTTGATTAGGCACATAAGCTTTCCAGTGCTGAGCAGGTTTCAGAAATAGAGAAGAAATTTAATTTGAAATTGACCGTAGAAAAACTCTCTGGCCTGTGCAAAGAAATATGTAGATTAGATTAAAGTAACACTTGCCTTCTTTCAGTTAAACTTTTGTTGATTTTTTTTTTCTCTTTTTTTTTGGGGGGGGGGATCATTTTGGCCGAATATGTGAGGCACGTCATGACATCTCCCTGTTAAACACAAGTGCAGGAAGTTTCCTGGCTCCAGTGGTATTTACTAGTTACTACTTAGTATTTACTGGTGGTGTTCTTTGTACAATCAACAGTTCCCTCGAAACTTAATCTCCACAGCCGCAATGTTGCCTCACCCTTCTATGCAAGTCTTATCAGACAATTTCGTGCTTGCAACCAGGCCAATGGCACGACAAGTGTCTTTGGTTTGACTTCACCCCCCTGCTCTCTTCCACTTCACGACATGAAGATATATCTTCGTGCTAGCTAGAAAGGAAAACGTCAATTGTTACAGAATCGAAATGGATGAACAACGACGATATGCTCCTTTTTAATTTCACCAGCTTTGACAATCCGTAACTCGCTAGGTGTGTTTTGTCATAACTTGACGACGAGAACGATCTTGTTCTTCTCGTGCCCAAGCTGTTTTAGGCTTTTTAGCCACATCATGCTCTGTATGGTAGAATTAATCCACCTGGATGCTCACTCAGCACCCACATCAGCCTCCATTAACCACCTCAGCATATTGCAAACAAACAGGGTTAGAGGTTCAGTTGATCCTTCGGAATGAGCGGCTTATTATAATATGAAAATAAATAAGGAGACCGAATTTTAAATTGAATAAAACTATAAAGACAGATATATTAATCTTAATGTTCTCTAATTGTTATCCTTTTTTGTGCATGAGCAAGCATGTACTTAAGATGATAATAATTTCCTTAAATGATGTAATATTTGTTGAGATACAGTGTTTTGAAGCTTTATACCATGCAATCCTCTTTTAATGGATTCATTTGTGATATGTTTTCACTCATTTATATAACCCAATAATCAGAAAAGATGTGTATATATGTATGTATTTTTTGACCGACCGGCCGGAAAAGTGACATCACTTCACTTTCGCAGGAAGGAAGTGATGCAAAAATTTAAAAATGAAAAAATTTTAATAAAGACCCCTTAATTATATTTATTTAAATTCAAAGTTCTTAAATTTTTAAAATTTCACTTTAATCCAAAAGTATTAATTTGATATTAAATTTTTAAAAAAATGATAAATTTTTTTATTTAAATTAATATCAAAACTGACATATCTCATTTATTTATTTATTTATGAAATGTTATTAATTGTCCTACTTCATTTATTTATTTTTTTGAAATAAAATCAAGTGAAAATATGACAATAAACTCAGTTCGTAAATAAATAAATAACATACAGCATAGAAATCAATAAATTATATTAAGATGATTTAAATATTTAAAATAAAAACAAGTTAAATAGGATAATTAATAATATTTTGTAAGTAAACTAATAAATGAAATAGGAAAGTTTTGATATCAATTTAAAGAAAGGGTCATTTTTGTCACTTTTATAAAAAATTTAATATCAAATTATTACCTTTAAACTACAGTATAATTTCATAAATTTAAGGGCTTTAAATTTAAATAAGTTGGTTTTATAGAAACTCTTCCTACAAAAATTAAAGTCAAGCCAGAAGAATGACACGCATAAATTAAAAAAGTGGAGAGAATTAATATGAAAAATTATTTAATTAAATGATCCCAGCTACGGTCTTTAGGATTTTCAATCTTACTCACCAATTTTTTTTTTTTTTTTTTTTTTTACTTCGATGCAGACACGGGCATGTTTACCCATTGTCTTGTCTTTTTCCCCCCCCTCTCGAGATTGATGGTAAAAGGCCAAGAGTTCAAGACCTTGAACTAAGGTCTTAAAATTGGGTTATGGTTGATTTTTATTTTTGATTTTTTTTATGAGTGATGGGTATCTTGTATTGATAAGTGAAGTAATTTTCACACTAAATTATTTTTTAAAACAAGCTGTTGAGAAACTTAATAAAATAAGATTTTAATATAATAAATTATTCAAATTAAGCTATATTTATCTTTTAAAATATTATTAATTTTAAAAAAATTAAATTACTCATTTCAATATCAACATATTTAATTATTTATAAATTTTTATATTAGGAGAGAGGGCAGATAATTAGATTATAAGGTAAAATAATAATTTAAATTTTTTAATATAATTATAAATAAAAAATTAAGTGTTTTAAAATCCTTAGCAGAATATTCCTAAGGGTGTTGAAAATAAAGGGATATCTCTATAATTTTAGCAAAACAAAATGAAGGTCGTTGTATTTTACTCTGAGAATAATAAATAATTTACTAATTTTCATTGTAAATTATTAACATAAGAGGTAGAGAAATCAACGTAAATTTTACAAATATTTTATTTAACAAATTTTCTAAATTTATATATATGAGTTATTTAACTTTTACAATTATAGTGCCTATTTGAATCTTAATTTACATCTAATAAAAATATATTTAAAAAATTAAATTATTTATTAGATTTGATAAAAGTATATTCCAGGCATAATTTTGATATACTTTTGAGGATTATTTAAATAGGCTAATAATTGTTGGAATCTTTAATGTCCACAATGGGAGTCAGCCAATGGGGTCTGTGAATGAATTATGGGCTTTCGTTTTTCTCCCAGGGGTGCATTATTTGCTAATGTTAGGACTTACTCTTTTGTTTCTATATATAAAAAATTTTTTAAAATTTTTTTATTCTTAAATATAAAAGGTTGTTAGTATATTTTTTAATAAATGAACTATTATATCTTTATTAAATTAGAAAGAGAAAAGAATAAGTACTCTCATTAATTTATTTTAAAAAAAATTTATTTTTTATCTATAATAATTAGGAGTAAAATTAAGATATTATTATGCTTTTAATTAGATAACTAATTTTTATTAATTTGCATAAATTAATTAA